AAAAGCAAACATTGTTTGACTGAGAATTGAAAGCTCATCTCCTTGTTTATTTATTCCTAGACTATTGGAATTATTATTTGAAATTAGTGTTGTATTGCTATCAATTATCCAATTATTGCAATTTTATAATCTCTAAATCTTTTAAAAAGTAATATAACTTAATTACTGTTTAAAATGACTTAATGTTGAAATTCAAACTTACTTACATATAAGTTATTTTTATTTGCTTGTTGCAATTAAAAAATAAATTATTATAATAACATTTGGAAATTATTATTTTTATCAATGTATACAACACAAGAATATTCAACTTAATAATAAACAAAATTTAAAAAGTAACAAAATATTATATTTTAAAATAAATATCTTTAAAGAACATAATTATTTATGTCAAAAGTAAACCTTGAATAATAAATTTAATTATACAATTATATAATTATACAATCAAATAACTGATTACAAAGAACGTTTGCCGACAATATCATTATTGTTTGCATTTATAGAAATCCAGAGCCGTTTTCCACGCCTTTCCCGTCAGAAAGAAGTCTTGAGCCGATTCTGGAAGGATGGAGAGCAACCAAATGGAGGGCTTCTCTGTAATGGCGGCACATCTGTAGTAGAGATCGGGTTCGCAGAGAGTGATGGCCTTCTGCTGGACGTCCAGTACTTCGTGTATCTGTGGTCGAGATATCATGACATTGTATTTCAAGCGATTTCTCATTTGTTGGTGAAATCTATGGCCGCCATAGTCTTCACGTATTTGCGGATCAGTTTTGTCCCATATCTGATCCAATGCATTGGAAAGTGTGTCCAAATTGACGATTTCTGTTTTGTACATATTTGGCTCTATTGTCACCACTTTTACACCAAAACGACTCAACTCTTTGCGAAGTCCATCAGAGAAGGCTCTGACCGCGTATTTAGACATACAATAGGCTGTAATTCCCCAGAATGTGAAACGACCTAAAAATATATTACCGTTACATAAAAATTAAAAAATGCTACATATCTTCATATTTAAATAAATATTGCATATGATTTGTGGCATTACCGGCAACACTGGCCATATTGACTACTCGTCCGCCAGATTTCCTCAAAAGTGGTAAACAATGTTTGGTAACTCTAACCAAACCAAACACATTGACCGCAAAAGTCTTCTCGAAGATATCGATTCCGGGACCCATTTCTACCAAAGAGTATTGAGCGATACCTGCGTTGTTAAGCACAGCCCATAAGTCAAAACTCGATTCCTCGATCTCTTTGACCACACGCTTGACGTCGTCTTCTTGAGTGACGTCTAATTTGGTTATTTTCAGACGATCTGAACATTTAACGCGAAGTCTCTCTGAACTCTGGCTATCAGTCGACAAAACGCCCGCAAATACATGAAATCCATACGAATCTAATTGATAGACCACGTGATGACCAAAACCAGAATCACATCCTGTTATAAGAATCGCACGATTTTTGGGGGAAATGTACTCCAGTTGTGAATAGTTTCGCAGAATATGAGCCAAAAACCACGAGATGTGCATCAATACAGTTATGACACCAAAAAATGTACAAAAATTTGAAAACACATTCAGAAGCGAGGACTCAATCAGATTTAGATAAAGCAAACTTAAAACTATGAATACAGTGACAAATATTTTATATAAAGTGATTTGCCCGGCGTTTGACATCGTAATTATTCTGTGTTTATATTTGTTATAAACAATTAACTAAATTTATAAATGACTTAAACAACATTGAATTTCATAATATGATTTTAACTTAAGCTAGACGTTACAACTTATAAAGTGAAATGTATTTACAAATGTAGTCCGAATGAGTTCTACATTTAAGTAATTTTGACTTTCACTTAATACTAGATCCAGTCTTTAAAGTCATTTTCATAAATGATTACTACTTTTCGATTAAACTATTTTTAAGTCATATTTACAAATGTAGTCCGAATGAGTTCTACATTTAAGTAATTTTGACTTTCACTTAATACTAGATCCAGTCTTTAAAGTCATTTTCATAAATGATTACTACTTTTCGATTAAACTATTTTTAAGTCATATCTAAACCAGTTCTTAAACCTATTGATACAAGAAATACGGTTAGACTTAATATTATAAAACTACTAAAAGCTGAGTTCAAAGAACTGTTACAACTTTTTTTCGTAAGTTTTGGTGATTACTATTTTGAAAGAATCGGAAACTGATTGGCAATTGGGGTCACTATATAGCTAACAAAACTGCTTTTTTGATCCCTTAATCAGTAAATACGGATCTAATGGTTAAAAGTGAGTGTGATTTGAAAAAATAATACAATCGCTTAAAAATAGTTTATTTACCAAAATTCATTTTAAGCAAACAATAGACGTGAGAAAATTGAGGCATTTATGTTTTAAAACAAGAATTACTGTACTTATTGATCGATTTATTTTATAGGGATAATAATAAATTAAATTCATCATCATTTAAATATAATGTTATAATATTCCTATGTCTAGTTATAAATATTTAAATACACGATAAATGTTTCCGTAATATTTTTATTTTTACTAAAAATTTTATAAGAGATTGATCCAAATATACTTTCCTGTATTTAATATTAAAAGTTATGATTAGTTTTGAGTGAATGCATCTATAAATGCATTTTCATTGTTCTCTAAATAACTTAATCAGAAGTTATAGACAATAAAAAC